TGATAATTACTGCTTGCCTTCTTCTCCTGGTGCCTCTCATTCCTATTGGGGAAGTTCAGACCTACACTCATGATTACGCTGGGCCCGCTGGGGCTGATGTCAGAAAGCAGCCCAAGATTCTTTGGGACATTGGTCAAAATTGGAACGATACCGAGAAGATTAGCGTTGCCCCTGTCCAGAAAGCAGGCCGAGTGGCCTTAGGGACATCTGTTAAAATTGGAACGATACAGAGAAGAATAGCATGGCTCCTGTGCAGAAAGCAGGTCACGGTTCTTCACGACATCCGCTAAAATTGGAACGATACAGAGAAGATTAGCATGGCCCCTGTGCAAGGATGACACTCATAAATCGAGAAATGGTTCCAGTTTTTTTGGGCTCGAAAGAAAAAGCAGGCCAGTCTAACACAGCAATTGGAACCCAGGTCCATGAGATGCTATGCTGGTTTTGGGAGGTCGTGATAACGACCATCTGCCTTGTTCTCCCATGCACCTCACCTGGTTTGACTCTGGTGCCCCTCATTCCCGTTGCACGGACAAGTTCTGACTACGTAGCTCACACAGGATTGGGCTGGTGCTCATAGCAGGACAGGAAGCAGGGCCACACTAACACAACTGCGATGTGAAAAGCGAGGTCTATGAGATGCCTCCATGTGTTCCTTTGGTCTTTGATTCATCGAGTTTCACCCATTTCTGGAATCGTTTTCCCGAGAAGAGGTAAGGGCTTAAACTTGCAGCTGTGAAGTCTTAACTTTTGAACAACCGCAACCTCCCGCAGGCACCCTTTTCTCTTGGCAGTGCTAGGATATCAGCTGGCAATCATTCAGTACCAAGTAACTTATCAAGATTTGGGACTTTTGGGACAGGGTTGGGGATGGAGCTTTGTGGGTGATCCACTTCTTCTCAGAGGCATGGGTCCCACATGCACCCTTTTTCCTCGCTAAGATGTTAGCTGCCGATGATTCAGTATTAGGTTTGGGAGAGGGTCGGCGATTGTTTGGGACGGAGCAGCCTCTGCGAAGTGGAAGCAACACCGGGCGATGGTTTGGGACCAGGTTTGGGACCAGGCTTGGGACCAGTGTCCCACACTGTTCCACACTGGAAGAAAAGGTCATATTGCATATTACCATTGGGTATGGGGGTGGAGGGTGCAGTCAAGGGTTTGAGCATGATCATCACATATGAGCATCTGTAGCGATAGGCCATTTCGGCATATCACACATTGCCAGCACAATTGCACGACATTCGGAAGTCCTCAATGCATCATACTAGGTCAAGAAATCTTACCAACTGTCCGCTGAAGATCAAACGGCATCGTCGTCATCGTTTGACGCTACAAGGAGCAACAGTGCTTTGGCGAAGGTAGGTGATGCGGTTCCCCCGCTTGTTCTGGAAGGTTTTTTGAAAATTGATTCGTCATCTACCCAGCCGTCTAATGCTGGCATCGACACCACGTGTGATGAAATTATTGTACCATGGGGATGAGGACACGGCTTTTTTTTCTTTTTCTACAAGAGTAGGGCATCCTCCCCCAGAGGTTAAAATCAATGAGCCCTCTTGCACCGTGGTCAGGACTCAGTATACACGATGGAAGCGCTGGGAGCTCGATTCTTTTCATATGAATGGTATGCACCACTCCATAACGGGGGCTCAGGCAGTTGACTGGGGGGAAGGATGGGCTCAGTGGTGTCTTTTGATTGCTTCACTCTTGCGCAAACATTACGTGCCTGGGCCTCTCCTTGATCTGTAGTTTCCCCCTGTTTTCACTCTCTGTTGCCTGCCTCGCCTGTCATATTCCGTAGTCTGGCACTGGGTGGGCGGCAAGATGGAGATGGGCGGGAGGAAGGCTAGTCGATTGGGGTGTGGATAGGGGGAGGGTAGGAGATAGGATAGTCAATAGGGTATGCTCAGCTCTCTGCTTGGCAAAATGGCAGGGGGAAGAGCATGCCAGTTGATCTGATAATCTGTGGCAGATGATTGACAATAAGAATGATATATGCGGCGAATTTAGCTAACCTCTGCCAGAAATTTGACAATAACAATCATATGTGAATGTTCTTCGCCGGGTAAACAGCTTAGGATAAGGCAGGGTAGGCAGACGACCTTGTGGAAAATGTAAATCACGGAGCTGGGCAGCAGCCTTATGCAGGGAGGAAACCTAGGGTGTGCCATGCACGACCATGACTATGAAGGATTAGGGTAGATTGGAAGACAGTTTGTCACCCTCTACATGGTTAGACCTTAATACTGAGTTAATAGTATTTAATACATGCTGTGACCTGGCTGCTAATTAGGCGGACGGTCAATCCCCTCGTGTGAGGGCAATCAATGCTGTTCTACCAGGCATACTCTCTCTGATCTTGCCAGTGGGACGCTGGACCCGGTTTCCAGCAGGTGATGCTTCCCACCAATAGATTGGTGCAGTCTATAAACTGGGGCTTGCTATTGGAAGATGCTTGTATCACCTCCAATAGCAGGCTGCCACAGATGTTTTGTTAAAAAACAAAAAACAAAATCAATAGCGAGTCAGGACGAAGGGGATGTGGTTGGAACGAATACAAACGACTGTGTGTGACATCTACTGAGATTCTGTCGTTAAACTACCAGGACCTCTAATGGTCGCGGCAGGTAACGCGCCCTGACACGGGTGGATGAACGGACCTGGACTGGAGCGCCCAAATTCATCCAAGTCGAAACGCTTCGACTTTATTTTTCCCCTCGGCCGATGTATGGGGCCGAGGTACTACGTTTTTTAACCGGCCGTAAGCGAATCCATCGTCTGCTGCATTCGTGCTATCTATCTCAGCGCCCCAGAGCGCAGGCACGAACGCATATCTCACGGGATCGTCCGAAGCTGCAATACTCCGGCAAAGGACGGCAAGAGGTTTGTCAGGTATTTGGAACTACCTCGAGCGACGAGCCTCGCACGACAGGTCTTCAACTAGGGCTGGGTCTGCCTCAGCCAGTCCTGGTGCCTGTAGTCGAACACCGTGGCGATCGTGTGCTGGACTGGTGGATGTCAACAACGTAGAAGGCCGAGTGCTCAGACGGAGGAACCGGGGGTAGTGGTTCGCCAGGGGAAAGAATATTGAGGTGAAAGTGAGAGAGAGAAGGGCTTCCTGAGGAGGTCGGGTGCAGAACACAGGTCTAGGCGAGGTGCATCTCAGAGGTAGTGATGGATCAAGCTTTGAACTTCAGACATGAAAATGAATCATTCAGTTCAGTGACACCCAACTTCAGCGTAATGGAGCTTTCATGGGCTGCAAACGAAGAGAGACTCAGAACGTGCTCGCAGTAGCACTATCGTAAAACGTATCCGACGGCATTTACGGACGGACCTGTATGCATGTGGCCGCAATTCCTTCCAGAAACAATTAAAAAAGTGCTAGTGTGAGTATCCTCATGCAGTAAAAACTCCTACACCTGCGATCATGCATCGACGGACGGGGGGGCCCGTAGTATGCACATGCCTGCGATCCAAATGAGGGCCCGCACTCCACTACTCACCAAATGTGCAAAATGAGAATGAAGCTTCCGCTAGAACATGGGAAGATACACCACCATACTTTTTGTCTTTTGTGTGTGTGCTGAGTAGTGGAGCAAGGCCCAAGGTCTTGTGCCAAGCGACTGAACAGCTCCACAAGAGATCGACAATAGGTGCTGCCAGCAACGGTGCAGCAGGACACAGGGGTCGAGCGGCTGTGAGTTTTCTTTCCGGCGGGATGAGGTGCTCCTTTTTTTTATTTATTTTTTTTAGCGGAATAAGGTGCTCTATTGCTGTGAGAAGTAAGGGAAAAAAAAATGTTGTGAGAAGCTAAGTCCGAGGACATCTTTTCGTTGTATTTTCATTCAATACATCGTATCTGACAGCAACTGAGCTTTTTATTTTCTGCAGGGAGTCAGGACTCAGGAGCCATTTGACCCCTTGTCAAGAGTCCAGTCCTGAAAGAGAGATCATGCCCAGATGGTCATTCCTGCGGGGGAATACACGCCGTACCGGAAAGTGGGGGGCATTACCGGAATTTGGCAAAAAGTTAAAAACACTGAATTTGGAAAAAAAATAGGTGAACTCCAAAAGGTACTCGGAGTAGGGTTTCATAGGGCATACTGACACCAGGCCCTCAAAGTCACAAAATCCCAAAATGAGCGGCCAGATCTAGTCCCTCCTTTACAGGGAGTCGATCTGGCCGCTCATTTTGTGATTTTGCGAGTTTGAGGGCCTTGTGTGACCATGCTCGTACTGCTTTTGAGTGTTTTTTTGTTTTTTTTGTTTTTTTGTGTGTGTTTGGTTTTTTGATGGTTGTATTGTGAGCCTGCATTGTTTGTTCGCAAAATTTTTGACGACAATGCTTGTGGTGATGCAGTGAAAACCCCCGAATTTTGGGCCTTCCATAAACCATCTCTCGAGTTATATCGTATCTTGTGAGCCAAACGCTGTGGCATATATGCAAGGTCTTTTTTTTTCTTTTTTTTTTTAAACAATCCCCGGAGAGCATCATTCTATCCACAGCAACAGCAGCTCGAGCACTGCAGTTCAGGATTACCAAGAAGGGCACATGAGGAAGACAATTTTCAGAGGCAAGGCAAGTGATGAACAGCACGCGCATGAGATATTTCACCCGGCATATTATCCCACCTAATGGGTGATGTTGCATTCTGAATGACAGCATATGCAAGTTGCATCCTGTTGAAGTGGCAGCAGACAAGTGTGAGGGATAAGACGTGGCTGGACGGGGTGCACAGAGAGAGAGAGAGAGAGAGAGAGAGAGCAGAGGGAAATCTCATGAGGAATGCGGCTTGTTGATCCTGATGGAAGGGATACTGGTGAGTTCCTGCGCATCTGCACGACATTGTCAATGTCGTCACACACGCCTTTCATTAACCATCTCTCTCTCTCTCTCTCTCTCTCTCTCTCTCTCTCTCTCTCTCTCTCTCTCTCTCTCTCTCTCTCTCACACACACACACACACACACACACACACA